GATTAAAAAGCCTGGTCTGGACTCCAGTTATGTCAAATTTTAGGCCAATTTTCAAAACTGCCCTTCGTGTCAAAGATCTTACAGAAAGTCGTTTATAACCAGTTAACATTTTACTTAAAAGAGCACAACCATCTTGAACTGTTTCAATCTGGCTTTAAACGTCTCCACAGTACTGAGTCAGCCCTGTTGAGTTTTTAATGGCATTCTTTTAGCCACAGACTGGTCACTGTGTAGTTCTGATGCTGCTGGACCTCACTGCTGTGGACCATCACATCCTCCTGTCTCGTCTGGAGAACTGGGTGGGCATTCAGGGTCCTGCTCTACGCTGGTTTAGATCCTATTTAACAGAGAGAAGCTATGTGTGCGTGTTTAAGCTGTTGAGTCCTCTGTAGCGCCTCTCACATGTGGAGTCCCTCAGGGATCTATACTTGGTCCCCTTCTATTTTCACTTTATTTACTCCCTCTGGGATATATTCTCTGGACACATAGTGTTACTTTTCATTTTTATGCTGATGACAGCCAAATTTATGCTCAATTAAAACAAGAAAAACAGTAATCTCTGAACACCAAAGTTCAAGCTCAATGCACGTAATCCGTGAACCAACTTCTAGAATGTAAGGCAGAAGTCAGAGCATGGATGTCACATTTTTTTTTTTTTTTTTTAACATTTTAATGAGGAAAAGACTGAGGTTTTGTTGTTTGAGCCCAGTGATGATTCCAAAGACCATGATGATCTGGGTCCTTTAGCACATCTGACTGAGACAGCAACTGACCCGAGGTGTGAGGAAGACTGATTCAGTGTAAACAGGTTTATAAGTAGATGTTTACTTAGATTCTTGGGGGTGGACAAAGCAAAAAAATTACATCGGTGCCCGATGACCCAAGGACATGATATCACCATGTAAAAGCTGGAACACACACAGAGCGTGTGCAACTGATTATCTGACGTCATTTCTATTAACGCGCTGTCTTAATATGTAAAATAGACATTAACAAACATATGCTCATAAATATAAATACTTAAACCAACATACCTTTTGCCTTTACGGGGGGGGGGGCTGCTAGTACAAAACCCATGCTTATCGTGACTCAGCGTGAATTGAAACTTACTGCCAAATAAACTACACAACTGCCTCAGACAGGAAGTGAAGATGCAAAATAAAGGCGCGCCGATTGAACAGGAAGTCAACGACATCACAGCAGAAACTTCAAAATAAAATACTTTCAACTTTAATTAAATGCACTTACGGTAATTTACTATTTACTATATATATATATATATACATATATATACTATATATATATATATA